ATAAGAGCTAATAATATTCGTGAATCCTTAGAAATAGTAAAACATACAAAAGATCATGTAGTATTAAATAGAGATGAAGGTATGGCGACTATTTCTGTAAGAATGTGGATTGATCTCCTTTGAATGGTTTAGCGTGAATTTATGTAAAATAGCATACAGGTCACATGACCTACTAAAAAGTTATAAATACTTTAGCATTGTCTTTTAATTCACTCCTGAGGATAACGTTGCAACGTCGAAACATGTAGAGTCGTCAACTTTTTGAAGGCCACAGATAGGCCTAAATGTTTTTAATTGTGTACCAATTTTAACGTTGAATATTATTTATGATTTTAATTTTATACACAAGTGCCAATACACAATAATTGTGGTTATGCAGTGAAGTAGGTGGACCAGACTGTGTGGTTGTTTATGGCCTGGAGTTGCTGTTCTGTATGTTAGTTATCTTAGGATGCTGAATGATGGTGGGGGATTATTCACTGGTCAGGATGGAAGTTGTTTGCTTGGGACTTGAGTCATAGTAGCTCAGTTGGCAGATCATCTGTCTTAGAAGACTAGTGTGAGTCAAAAGTCCTGAGTTTAAGCCTTTTTCAGGACAGATTTTTTAACCTCCTTATCCATCATACAAGGTGGGCCATAGTGAACCACTCAATAAATATAACTAAATTAAATCAAGAAACCTCTATTTTTAATTAACCTGAACTTTTATGATCAACTTATCAGTTTAATTTTACAAATATTCAGTGTCCACCACCAAATAAATGTATGTATGACATTAAACTTCTTATACAAATTTGCATGAAATACAAAATAATTAATACATGTATACACATATGTTTATTGAGGGCCATTATCCTGTATTTGAAGCCACTAATGGGGTGTCAGTTTTTGGAACTAGTTCTGTTTTTATTGGACAATATTTTAGGTTTAGTTACAACCTGAAAAAGGCCTCAGCATAGAACTCAAAAACTTCACCCAAAAATAAAGAAAAGAAAAGAAAAAAGAAATTAGCATGTAAAAAACCACTGTTAACATTTTTTTATTGTTTTTTGATACGTGAGCTTTTTCTTAGGGACAGACTTACTGAAGATGATGTTATTGCAACTGCACAGATTGCACTTCCAGCAATTTCTGCTCCTGGGGACACAGGTATATTGTCATAAAATGATATGATTTTGCTCTAAAGACAATAAAATTTGCAATTCTATTACATCATAATAATTTTTTTTATCTATTTAATGTAGAAACACACTGATGTGATTGTAAATTATTAGATCTTTAATGATCAGTTACATGCTGTGGTTTGCGAGACAATATCTTTTAATTACAGTAAAACATTCACATATATGAATTTTCAGATTTGAACTACTTAGTATGTTGATAGTTCTCTGTTCTACTAACTGATAAAATACATCCAAAGTAATGTATTGGTATGTACAGGTGTCTGGTATTTTGCTTATCCAGGTAAAACATG